TTGGATCAAGAATGGTAAAAAGGTCTAGAATCTATCAACTATCTCGTCATTTATAACAATGAAGCAAAATTCATTTGACGCTCTGTTCACACAGTCTATAGGAAAACATTTCCATGACGTTTGTCAATTGACCCCGTTTTTATCCCTTCTTGTGTGAAAACATCAATGAAAGAAAACGCAGGACCGTAGCATGATTTCAAAATCATGCATGATTTCAAGGTCTGCATGACTTCAAAATCATGCAGACCTTGATCAATTTTAAGCCTTATTAATTTTAAGCGGCTACATTATCCATGACAAACTGCAAAGAATGAAGACAGTACCGACAGTTTCCTGCAACTTATCCTAGTTATCCAATATATAGTAAATTAAATACGCTTTCGTCCATTTAGTACTACCAAATTGTCAATTTTGACATACTAAAACACTGTTTTCTGACCATCGGAATTCTGCCAAATCTTCCCCCAAAGGCCAGGAAATGGCATTTCAGATACTCTAGACTTAAAAATTTCCTCGGCCCTTCGGGCCTCGCTTTCAGCCCCCCAATCAAAAAGAGCTTCCTACGGCCCTGAAACGCTATGGAAACGACACCATGTGGATTAATAGTTAGGATGAGGGGTCAAAAAATTTTAAGTAAAAAAAATAGGGGGTCATAATTTATATCAACTTTTGTCTTTGGGGTTCCAAGTTTTCGCATGGAATTAGATATCAGTTCCTCCGCCCAGCCCCCCCCCCCCTAAAAATGAATGCTCCCTAATTTCTGGATTGCACCCGCATTTCATTTATATACATATATATACATATATATGTATATATATACATATATATATATATATATATATATATATATATATATATATATATATATATATATATATATATATATATATATATATATAATTTGTTATCTTAAAATGTTTTAATTTCTCGCTACTTTAACTCTTTCTCAACAGGGCCCAATCACGTCGATCGCTAGCGATCGACGGCTCGAAATTTCATACTTTCGGTTCAGTGCATGCTATGAAGACAGAAATACCACCATTCGATTCAGAAATAAAAAAAAAAACTAGCTCCAAACGATAGTTATAGTCATTATTAGCATTGTAACGATTTTGAAGGTCAAAACGATCATATTGTATCAAATTACGCAATTGTCTGAACAAAAATACAGATTATTATAGACTAGCCATACCTTTCGGCGAAAATAACTTCGGCCCCATCGAACATATCGTCTTTGTAATAGTCTTGTTCGAATCCCCATTAAATAGTGTTTTTGGAGTGTTATTTGCAACCCTGAATCTACAAATCTGTATCTTTTATCAATATATTTCCATTTCTTGTCCGACTGTGAGCTCGAAGTGAATTAATCCCAACCGGAAATACGACTGAAAACCGTCAAAACAATGCGGCGTTTGTATCGTATAACCCTGGAAAGGCCAGAAATGGATTCGCAAGGTCAAATTGCACCTACACGCGTGAGTTTGACGTCATCCCGGCCAAAGGAGCTTCTTATTGGCCAATTATTGCGCAATGTACGCAAGTGCGAGTAAAACCCAATATCTTGAAAAATTCAAAATAAATATTTCTAGTCGGCGTATACATACGAAACTTTCTACACGAAAGCGCTTGAATACAGAGAGTATTTTACACGTATAGCCGTTCAGCAAATGACGAAAAGTTCAAGGGGTATTCAAGATTTTGTGGATATGAAATTTAGAATCGTTGGCCAAGCGGTGAGTAAATATATGATTGTTTCGCTTTGTGTAACGTTTTGACGGCACTTGACCCCCCGTTCGAAAGGTTATTTTATGAGGATTTCAATGGTGGCATTTATTTAAAAGGGGGGTAAATACTCGCCGAGATATTTATATTAGAAAAATTGTATCGAAATGTAATACGAAACCGGTTGTTGATTCAGGCGATATATATATATATATATATATATATATATATATATATATATATATATATATATATATATATATATATATATATATATATATATATATATATATATATATATATATATATATATATATATATATATATATATATATATATATACTCTACACTGCTGAAAGACAACCCTTTGTCGTTGATAATTGCATTCTAATTGAAAAATATTGAGTATTATTTTTATATTATTTAAAAATTTAAAAAGGTAGCTTTTCGTAAAAACTAGAAAATAAAGCTAATTACGCCAACGCTTTTCATTGCACTGAAACACGTTGGTCAAACAAGGGGGAATTTCGTTCTCGACCAATCAGCGCTTTTGTTTACATTTTTGCCCTAAGCCAATCAGAATGCGTAAAACGCTTCATCACATGAAATTTGTAAACAAACATATGGGGTTACTTCAGAGCTTTTCTGCAAGCGGTTTTTTGTTTTTTTGCCATGAAATTCATATATATTGTTCTTAAAAGAATTCTCCTCAACTTCCTCGTGGCGATTTTTGATTAATTGCGTGATTGCGAAGATATGGGTCTTCAAACTTTGCCTTGCGCAGGCTTAATTACCACCCCTCGAATTTGTAGGTTCCGAACGGATTAGCGTTTTTAAAAGCCTTTCAAATCGAGGTTTGAGAGGTTTTATTTTTTAAAAGATACTTTTATCTTCATATTTTCACATTAACTTATTAATATCCTGTGTAACAAGTAAACAGGACACTTCCGGGCCGGGACAAGTTGACATGTCGATTTCTTGCTAAACAGCGTGGCGATCAATATGGCGAATATCTAAATACAGGGAATTTTTAATTTATTATTTGTTGGTATAAATGGGCTAAAGAAACTCATCAAATATTTGGACTATGGACCTTCAAACTTATGCCAAGTATTTATTTGATTGATTAGCTCAATAACTGTTTTTTGGCTCGTTTTTCGTCGATTTCACATTTAGTCGAGCTTAGTCGACTTCAGAATAATGTGTCAACATTGCGGGTTGCAGCCTGTGGGCATGAATATTTTCGTTTGTTTGACCATAACACTTGTCTTCATTGTTTTTAATCCTTGAATGACAATATATTCATTGGTCTCAGAGTCCTAAACTTAAGGAAGATGGATTACTTTGGGACAGATATCAAAATTTTGTTCAGATATCAAAATTTATGGACATATATAGTCACAGTGACTAAGTCACTCATAGCATAGTCATAGGACCCTCATTGTTTCTTCCTTAATCTGGCCCACTAGTCACAAATGGGGCCTGTTCTTATGACCTGGCTAGGCAGGAGACAACATTTGCCAGTATTGCTGACATACTATCCTGCTACTATCTGGCTAAGCACAAGATAACCGTTGCCAGAATCCCAACTACACAACCAGGCAACATGAACTTGCCTTTCAGTAGTGTCCCATGCTGCCTAGCCCAGATCATATCAACAGACCCTTAGCAGATCCTGAAACTACAATTGGAACATTTTAGGCCATAATCTTGTAGAATCAACCAGGTATTGTCAGTAGTATAATATCACACTGGGCAAGCTGGTCTTGCCCATTTATATGGGCTAAATATACACCTGCCCATGGTAAGATACTGCCTCGTATATTAATTTTATATATGTTTGAGATTGCATTCACATGAAACAGCCTGGTTGAATTTATTGGCCCAGCATCTGCTTGAGCAAGTTGATATCCTGCATTGGGAAACCAGCTCACTCGACTAAAAATCATGTTATAATACACAATTTGGCCCAAGGAAGTAAGAAATTGATTAATATAAGCCTTCTGAAGCTGTTGTCATTAACAAATTAACCAGCATTTCACACAAATTTCTTGACAACAGTTGCCAGGTTAGCCTGGCTCCTGTGAGGCAAATGACAAACTAGCCCTGAAAAGAAAATCCAGCCATGTTTGCTGGGCTAGCATGGCCCATTTTGACAGCCCTTAACAGGGAGAGCTTATTTTTGGAAGGGAGATCTGATTTTTGGAAGGGAGGCCTATTTGTGAGGTTACTGGGAGCTTAATATTGGATTGCATTATTATATAATATGTGTAAAATATTCATTTGTGCACAGGTATTCTGGTAATGCACAAATTTATGGACTAAAATGTTTCAATTATAGTCTCTGGATCTATTGGGGACCTGTTTATATGATCTAGGCTATCCAGAACACATGCTTGAAGCCTATCATGTTGCCTGTTTGGGATACAGTGCTTATTGTATATGGTGAATTTCTTGGCTTACATATAGCCAGGATTCTGGCAATGGAAACCTCACGCTTAGCCAAGCCGATAGTAGCAGGATAGGATAGGACACACTGGCCAATGTCGTCTCCCACCTTAGGCCACCTAGCCAGGTAATATGAACAGGGCCCAATTGTGACTATAGTGAGACAGATGAAGTAAAAACAATGAAGTTCATATATGTCCATAAATTTTAATACCTGAACAGCAACATTGAACAAAATCATTCTGTCCCAATGTCATCCATCTTCCTTAAGTTTAGGACTCTGAGACCAATGAATATATTGTCAATCAAGGATTAAAACCAATGAAGACAAGTGTTATTGTCAAACAAACGAAAATATTCATGTCCACAGGCTGCGCAACACGCAATGTTGACACATTATCCTGAAGTCAACAAAATGTGGAAATCGACGAAAAACGAGCCAAGAAACAGTTATTGAGCTAATCAATCAAATAAATACTTGGCATAAGTTTGAAGGTCCATAGTCCAAATATTTGATGAGTTTCTTTAGCCCATTTATACCAACAAATTTTAAAAATTCCCTGTATTTAGATATTCGCCATATTGATCGCCACGCTGTTTAGCAAGAAATCGACATGTCAACTTGTCCCGGCCCGGAAATGTCCTGTTTACTTGGTACACAGGATATTAATAAGTTAATGTGAAAATATGAAGATAAAAGTATCTTTTAAACAATAAAACCTCTCAAACCTCGATTTGAAAGGCTTTTAAAAACGCTAATCCGTTCGGAACCTACAGATTCGAGGGGTGGTATTTAAGCTTGCGCAAGGCAAAGTTTGAAGACCCATATCTTCGCAATCACGCAATTAATCAAAAATCGCCACGAGGAAGTTGAGGAGAATTCTTTTAAGAACAACATATATGAATTTCATGGCAAAAAACCAAAAAACCGCTTGCAGAAAAGCTCTGAAGTAACCCCATATGTTTGTTTACAAATTTCATGTGATGAAGCGTTTTACGCATTCTGATTGGCTTAGGGCAAAAATGTAAACAAAAGCGCTGATTGGTCGAGAATGAAATCCACCCTTGTTGACACGACCCATTATTCCATGAAATAGATACACATTTTAAATATCCATTCAGCCACATTGCTACGGACTGTTTTGGTTTTTTGTATGCAGGAATAAATGCCAGGATATTAATTAACCTTATCGAAAATCAAAACGTGTAACGGAAGTGTCTAGCTCAGCGGTTAGTCGGTTACTGTAGTAAAAGCGAACAAAAACAACAATTCACGCTCTCTCAAAAAAAGTTTCAACAATTTTGTTTCGAATTTTACGTATTGTATGATAAATATGTATTTCTTGAACGATAGATTTTTCGAAAACTATGGATTTTCGTTATTCTTAGTCATAAAAGTCAAATAATGGAACAAGTTAGCAATAATGGACAAATCATGCGGCCAGTTCTAGGAGACGCGGGCGGAAGACGGGAAACTAAAGTCTAATTTGGAGTGGCCTTATGGGGGTCGGGATTATTCTGATATACTAAAATGAGGGTTAGATGAAGTCCCGCTAAGGAAAGTTGAAGTGGGCGAAGTCAAGTAAGTGCCAGAATGCATGTTATATTCATGATTAAATTTAACAAGGGTTTGGTATTAATATTATATTTGTATTTATTTTTATTTATCTTTGATAACTGCTAACCGTTCGCATACTCTACCAAAGGCTAAGAATATCAGTATATTTGCAGATCGCAGATTGCAGCAAATGCCAACAGACCAATTATAAAATGCAGAATAGGTGTAATTCGTGGATCGTGACTAAAACACCACACGAGTACATACGAGTAACATACGAGTAACACACAGGTACATACGAGTACATACGAGTAACACACGAGTACATACGAGTAACATACGAGTACATACGAGTAACATACGAGTACATACGAGTAACACACGAGCACATACGAGTAAAACACAAGTACATACGAGTACATACGAGTAGAATACGAGTAAAATACGACTAGTAAACTTGTTTTTAGTGTTTGTAGATTGAATACAGGCAAAAAGATCGTCTTCTCTGTCGAAAAACGTGAAATAGACTGAAACCGGCTATCTTTAAAACCCGGAATGGGGGAACGGGGATTGGGAGAACGGGAAGTGGGGGAACGGGGATGGGGGAACGGGGAATGGGAGAACGGGAAGTGGGGGAATGGGGAACAGAGGGAATGATGGGGCGAGGGGGGGGAGGAAATAGGAGACGGGGGGCGGGGGAGGTCTGCCAGATTATAAACCACAACTTTGTAGTTTGTACAACATCTACTTTTAGGTATTCTATCTAGATAGTTAGATACATGACACAAACCATAGGCTTCACATATTTCACGGTATGGTTTGCTTTCAAAACCCTGTGAGCATGCACATAACCTAACTGCATCTATACTTAAATAGCACTAGGTGATAAACTTACAATCCTCACATAGC